TGACTGCTTTTCTGGCGGTTCAGAAGAGAGGGAGAGAGAGGACGGCAGAGCTCGAGAGCGTCAGTCGATCGGTAGCGAAGGGTTTTAGATTGATTGCACTGACGAGAGAAGGACGAGGGAGTGATGCATCGGGCGGTGAACATGTCAAGCTTGAGCTTGTCTCGACCCCTCGGTAACTTTGGGTTGCGAAGGAGGTGGAACGGGTTGGTGACGAGAGCATCTGCTCAAGGGATGGGAGTGCCGAGTGTTTCGGAAAGGATGAACAAGTTGAGGGAGGAGAACAAGTGTGCATTGATACCTTTCATCGTGGCTGGAGATCCTGGGTTGGAGACAACGCCGCAAGCGTTACAGATGTTGAGCGACGGAGGGGCGGACGTTATCGAGCTCGGGGTGCCGTACTCGGACCCACTGGCGGATGGCCCAACGATACAGGCAGCAGCGACGAGGGCATTGGAGAAGGAAGTGGCTTTGGATGACGTGCTGAAGATGTTGAAGGAAGTGTCGCCGACGCTCAAGTCGCCGGTGGTGCTGTTCACTTACTTCAACCCCATCTTGAAGAAAGGCATTGACCAGTTCTGCAAGGAGGCCAAGGACGCTGGAGCGAGTGGTCTCCTCGTTCCTGACTTGCCCCTGGAGGAGACCCAGCCCATCAGGGAAGGGTGTGAGGCGCACGGGATCGAACTCGTGATGCTTGTGACACCTACTACGCCAAAGGCGAGGATGAGCACCATCGCGGAGGCTAGCCAGGGTTTCGTGTACTTGGTCTCCGTCGCCGGGGTCACGGGAGCGAGGTCCGACGTAGCGGTCAACGTGCAGGGGCTCCTGAACGACCTGCAGGACTCGACGGACAAGTCCGTTGCGGTTGGCTTCGGAGTCAGTGACGCGGAGCAGGCCAAGCTGATCAAGTCGTGGGGGGCCGAGGGAGTCATCGTTGGAAGTGCCCTGGTCAAGAAGCTGGGGGAGTCTGGGTCCGCGAAGGAGGGTCTGGAAAGCATGGGGAAGCTGCTGAAGGAGCTCAGAGAAGCGCTCTGAGGAAGAAGAACGAGGATGATGAGGAGGCTGTGGCTGGAAAGGGCCCTCGCCTGCACCACGAGCACGCGACACTTATGAAAAGTATAAAGAATGATGAGCAGGGCAGAGGTTTGGATAACGACGCTAAGGATTTTCTGGAAATCTATTCGATGGTCTTGATTTTCATTTCATTTCGGGATTTAAGACTTATTCTTACAGCCCCCCTCTCCCTCTCCCTCTTTCCCTCGCCCTCTTGTCCTTTCACGCGATCCCTTGCTTTGCCTGCTGCTTCCTCTGCTTGTAGCCCTCCAAGAGCAGCACAGGATTCATCCTGGAAAGCTCGCTGAGCTTGTCGAAGCTCATCCTCTCGATGTCTTCCAGCTTTTGCCTCGCAGTCCCGATGGTCCTCTTCCTCCACGCCAGCCCCCGACCCCTTCCCGTCCTTCCAGCGGCCCTGGCTTCGTGGGTTTCCAAGTCACAGGGAAGGGCCTCCGCAGCGTTGGTGAAAATGTTGATGGCAACGAACGCCAGGACTGGCGAGAGGTCAATGGTGCCACCGATAGGCGGGATGATTCCTCTGAAGGAACGAGTCAAAGGAGACACACAAGAGTCAGGTCAGAGGCTCCGCAATTCCGTTGTTGTTTGTTGCCGTTTCTTCCTCACCTGAAGAGGTTCAAGTACGGATCTGCGAGCGTGGACACCGGGCCCACGATAGCGCCCGGAGCTTGAGGAAACCAGGTCAGCAGCACCCGAACGACGAGGACGAAGTTGTACAAGTTGCTGGGTGCGGAGACAAAGCGAAACACGGAGAAACAGAGCGCGCGACGGTGTCAGCACATCACAAGGCCTTTGGACGTTTCGGGAGGGAAAACAAAAACGGAGACTCACATGAAGCTGAGAATTCCAGTGGTCATGACCGCCTCAACAACGGTGTCACCTGGGATAATTGCGGCGAGGCAAGCCCCCTGAGGCCCTCTCAGGAGCCACTTGGCCCCGCTCGCGGTGGCACTGGACCCGTCTCCCTTCGACTTGGTCGTCTTGCGCTTCAGCAAGGCCTTGAACTTGTCGTCAATCCTTTTCCACTTCGGGTCATCCAAGGCACTCAGGCCGAACACGGTCTTCACCCTCCTCCTCTCTCCGATAGGCGCCATGCTCAACACCTGCAACAACGGGGCCACGGAACGAGCAGAGAGACAATCAGCACGGGATGGTTTAGTTCTCACTCTGCAGAATCCTCATCACAGCGTCCCTATCTTCAAGTGAGAGCTCTTTGGAAATAGGAGATCACATGAAACCCATCAATCACTCCCTTCTTCCCTCCTCGTGCTTCTCCTTCCCATCACTCACCTGTTTTCGATGGCACCGTGGAACGGAAGCAAAACAGAGAAAACTTGACGTTTTAGTTTCCAACATCCTCGTCCCTTTGTCATCTTTCTCGAGCGAGGCCTCCTTGAAAAGAGAAGAGCACGAGGATTCCCTCCCTCCCTCCTCCCTCCCTCTTCGTGCTTCCACTCGACCTCATCGCCCCTTACCCTTACCTGTGTCACTGCAATCAAACCACAAAAGCAAACCGTTTGATTCGTCTTGTCAGATCCTCATCCCTTTGTCATCTTTCTCAAGCGAGGGCTCATTCGAAAGAGGAGATCACAAGGATTCCGCCCCGCACCCCCTCCCTCGCCCCCCTCTCCGTCCTTGTCGTCTACGCCGCTCTCACTCACCTGGTTGTGTCCCTCCCGCTCCGCCACGAACGCGTTCTATTTTTAATTTTAAAGATGGGGATTTTTTTTGACTCTGGGGTGTTGACCCCAAGGACAAGTTATAGAAGTCCAGCAGGAGGGCGAACCAAGGTGAGTGGAGGCCATGATGGCAGGGGGTGGAGGGAGGTTGAGGGCAAAAAGGACGATACAGTGGAAATAGGGAAGTCTCAAGCTTTCCAAAGAGCCCTCACTTGAAGAGAATGGTGTTGTGGTGAGACCTCTGGACCGCGAAACTGAAACTTTTTGAGGTCTGTCTGTCTGTGTGTAGTGTGGAGCCCAAGGGTGAGTTGGGACGGGTAAAGGGCAAGGTAAGCGAGGTGGGGCAAAGCAGAGGGCTGCAAGTGAAAGAATGGTGCTCTCCAGCTTTCCAAAGAGCCCTCACTTGAAGAGAATGGTGTTGTGGTGAGTTGTGTTTAGCTTAACATGAACAACATCTTTGTGGTGTCTTTGTGTTGTGTCACCTGTTAGTGGTACGAGGAGGAGACTTAGCGCGATGAGTGGCGATGCAATGGTGATAGGAGCAAGCGAGGGAGGCGAGAACAGCCCAAGAAGTCGGTTAGGAAAGAAGCACCTCCACCCGAGCAACGAGTACCAGTCGTGGGACTATCTCAAGGGAAGCGGTCCAGCTGCACCTGACGCGAACCATCCGGACCACAAGCCAAGGTTCAAGCCGGGTTGGAAGACTAGGAAGAAGGAGAAGGACATCAACCCTTGGAGCGAGAGGGTTGCCTTTGAGGAGGGCAAGGCAAAGGTTTATGAGAAGTATCAGGAGCACAAGAAGGCAGAGTTGCTGAAGAGGAGCTCCAAGTACAACCCAATCAGCGGGGAGTTCATGAACAACTCTGGGAACTGGGAGCCTGCGAGCGACCCTTGGGCCCACATCCAGAGCGGCAAGAAGCTCGTGCAGCCCTCGGCTAGCTCGCAGGAGAAGAAGCAGAGGAAAGCAAAGGGTCAGGTGGTGCGTGCTCAGCTCAGGCAGGACAGGATAGTCACGGAGGGGCTCTTCGCCACGAAGAAGGGGGACTGCGTGGGCCACGTCTTCGGCACCGCGGACTGAGAGAGCAACAACAAAGGGAACTTGGATATTCTGTAAAATAGAAATACAATTTTCATGTCTGCATCATGCTGTTCAGCCGCTCTTCCGTCAGGAGCATCTGGCTGTTCGTGGCGCCGTCGAAAGGCTGGGCCATGGATCGCATGAATTGCCTCGCCACCGCCAACAGCATGCTTTCGTCTGTGCCAAAGGAAAGAGAGAGAGAGAGAGAGAGGAAGATATTGTGTTTTGGTCAGTGTTCTGCCTCGCCCACCGAGGTGGGCGCTCGATTTCTTTCGACTCACCCAGGTGCATGTGCGCCTCCTTTATTCTTTGGGAGATCCAGGCGGGCAGCTTGTCCCTCTTGTCCGCCCTCGCGTACCGCCGGTCCGCCAGGACCATGAGGCCGTAATCCGCCTTGGATCTGATGACGCGGCCAACGCACTGGGCGGCCTGCCTCACGGCATCAAACGCGAGGAAGTCCGACTCACTCACGCCGTGCGTCTCCCTCAAGTACTCGAGCCTCGCTCTCAGAATTCTGGAAAGGGTATACTGGTACGGGACTCCGAACATGACAACGCAGCGCCCGTAGTGCCTGTCAAAATCTATACCTTCCGCGACCTTTCCCCTCGCCACGGAGAAAAACACTGCCCCCCTGCCGCAGTCACAGGCTCTTCTGTAGTTGTCCAAAGCCAGCGTCGTCTCCACCACGTCTTGCGTCTCGATGAAGACCAACTTGTTTTGCATGATGTCCCTGAGTATCCCCATGTCGCTCCACTGGCTCACGATTTTGTCCATGTACAGGTAAGACACGAAGAAGCACACTATGCCGTCAGGAACAACGGCGGAGAGATCCACCAGGAGCTTGCCGTAGTTCCTCACGACCCCAGGATCGTCTCGCATCTCAAACGCGGAGCTCACTGGCATCTGATCGGCACCCTTGGTCAGGATCACGGGGCAGATGCAGTCCCTCACAAGGGTCATGTTCAGACTCTGGATCACGACGGGGTGAAAGTTCAGGATCTTTGGGTACAAGTCGATGGGACTCAGCGTGCCGCTCGTGATGACCACGGACTGGAACTTGTCGAACACCGGCCTCACCGCCAGGGAGGAGTCGAGGCAAGAGAGCTGTATGACGGGGTCTGGCACCGAAGGCAAGCGCTCGTCGTAAGGCTCAATAATGATGGCGAACCCTCTGTCGTAGGTGCCC